AAATGAAGACAATTTAGTAATTTATATAATATATCCACTTATTTATTCTCTAAATTAAATATATTATTTACCGATTTATTACAACCAACCAAATATATTTTTAAACATTTTAGTAATCTTTAAAATTATTTTTATTTCTAGCAATATAATATAATTTTATAATAAAATATTATATGAACCGTACTATACGTATTTCACTGATCAAATTAACTAAGGTCCCACTTAATATTCACATCTCACGGAGTGGAAACCAAACCACAACCACATGACTTGTAGAGAGAACGAGTGTGGGCAACTTTACAAGAGTGGAATCGGCAACCCAGAGTTTGTCGTTATCCAAAGATTTTGTTGGAAACGAGAAGTAAGAAAAAATCAGAACTACCTGACTTGGTGTAGATTGTTGTCGAGATCTCATTGGTTATCTGGTAACTTTAAACTGCTATTCTGACTCTGATGTAACATAAAATCAAAAGCAATTTAGATCGTGTCGTGTGTTGATTGGAAGTTAGTACTATGGTTTACACATTGGAAGTGATGAAAAAAATGGTTGAATGGAAGGAGTTAGGAGCCTGCGTCTTTCTCTAATAATGATACAATGTCTTGTCTCGTCTCGTGGCTTAATTACTTTGTGAAAGTGGAGTCTTTGTCCTCTTCCTCCAACGTCCCATCCATAGTCAGACTTATTTTTTCAAGCCTAACTCAGACACAGTCTCTCCCAAGCCAAAGTTGTTATACAGAAAACCCTAATATGTTTATGTTTCCAGTTTCAACCCTAATATGTTTAATGAGAAGAAATTGGATTTATTTTGATCTACTAGGAAAAATATCTTTCAAAACGAGTGTAATTAAGTAGTTTAATCTGACGAAGAAGATGGATATTAATAAATTGTGGGTAGTACTTTGAAAGAACAAAGCTATAATAGGGGAGTGACTTTTGAGCTGGGTGCTGGTGAAAAGAGGACGATAAAATCTGTACTAGTATCTAGGCGAAATGAACAGCGAGACATTTGATGTTTACAAAACACAATTAAAATCTTGGAACTATGCATTGAACCACAGCAAATGAAGAACATGTGAGTGAAGGCATCTTCCAAGTACAGGTCTGTCAATTCATACATTATTATCCCAACGCCACCTACATCCTCTCTATGAATAAAAATAAACCCATTGTTGTACCAGTATTCATCTAAAAGCCATTAGTGCTCTTGCTTTAGTCTAGTCGAAATCAGTCGCAGTAAGTGAATGCAAAGAAGATTGGATCTCATCTCCTGGTGTTTTCCTCATCCAAGGGTTCAGATTAACTCTACTTTCTTTTTTCTTGCTCTAGTACTATACTCATTACTGAAAAATGAACATATTGTACCTACTCTCTCTTACCTTGCTGTATTCAACTTACTTTCCATCAAACTTTGAAGGGCTCAACGTTATCTCATGTTTTAGTTCAACCAAACCTGAATTTTTCATGACAAAACGGTAACTAGCTAGAGTTAGGGGTGATAATTTATCTAGTTCTGACTTGATCTTCTTGTAAACGAACATTCAATTAGGGTTTCTGACAATTTTCTCAGTCATAATGCCAATGCCAGTGACAGAACCACTCTGTCTTTAGGCCTGTGGCCATGGCCACCCTCGCTAATTAGCCCTCTGGTTTTCGCAGGAATGTTTGTATATTGGAATTCTCTTACTGATTTTAATTGAATGCCTCTCCACCACATCCCAAGTTATAATTAGTGATTCGCAGATGGACTTCAGACTTCTTAATGCTATGAGGAATCTCTAGTTAATCTTGATTAATTTGCTGGTTCAAGGGTACAGTACAATCCATATTTAAGGCTCCAACCAGCCTTCTGTGGTCTAGCAGTCCCCATGTTTATTATTTAAAGCTCTAACTACATTCATAATTTGCAAGACATTAAAATAATAAACTTTTTAATTAATATTCTTTCACCCCCTTTTATCTTCTAAATTTTACTCTAGGACAACGTCAAAATTTCACTTTTAATTTCTCTATTGATCATGGCTTACTTTCTATAATTTATAAAAATTTACATCTTAAATAGTTTGGATTTTTTTTGTGAATTAGACACAAAAAAAATTAACCTTTGCATTAAAACAAAGGATAAACAAATTGATATATGTCACTTTTCCTTTTTTGTATATACAGTCCATATAATATATAGTTTTCAACCTTGTTAATTATCAGTAATGGACCACGTGTTAATTGTTATACTAAATTATTTGTGTTGGGAACTAACGTGGCTATGACATACTATACCAATTTGTTGGGAAACCAGTATGCTCAATTAGGATATCGATTTAGAGTAAACAACATTTTCCCACCCAAGGTTTGCCTTAATGATTATTTCCCACCCAAAAAATTTCAAAATATCATTTCCATCTAAAGTTTGTATTCTGTTAATACCCAAAATACACTTTACTTTCTCCGTCAGCCTTCGACGAGTTATCATGAGCCAGAGTATAGAGAGATTTTTTAGAATGAAGGTCAATGGATCGAATAGTGATGACCAATGAGTATTCACCGTCCAAATAAGCCAAAAATTACAGCCCATATAATATATAGTTTTTCAACCTTGTTAATTACCAGTAATTGAACACCTGTTAATTGTTATACTAAATTGTTTCTGTTGGGAACTGGCATAGCTATGACATATACCAATTTGTTGGTAAACCAGTATGCTTAATTATGATATCGATTTATCATCAAATGAAGACAATTGGCCAATAAGATCAAAATCTTTGTGACTTAATGTTGGTCCTTTACAGGTACATTCACTCTTGTGGTCACACAAACCTCTGGCGATGAATTTCATATACACGTTTTGATGAATATTGAAATTATATTCTCCTTATCCTTAACAAAGAACAAAAAAATTCTACACAAAATTTGAAAAAGAAATTGCGTCTGGACAGAATATATCTCATTTGCTATGACATTTCTGCTCACCAGGGCAACCATAATTTTTAATTGCTAGAACAAATGCTATTCTGTTCTCCTTTTTATTTTGCGATTCTTTGCACCTTACCATGGGTAAGTAATAACTTGTTGGATGTGGCAATTTCAACTTCTTTAAACATTGTAATCTGCCACCATTAATTATCATAGTTTATACTTGTTATATTCGGCTAGAAATACTGATTTAGTTTACTTTTTGAATTTGTTTTGTATCTCCGATTGGATGAATTATTTTGTTAATTTATCAAATAGACTGAGTGTAATACGGTGTGCAATTTATATGGATCAGTGCTTATTAAATTTAATTTTTCATGAAATAAATCAGTTCAAGGGAACTACGATTCTATACAAAAGTGTTATTGGCGAAGAGAGAATTTAATCCAGGGATAGAGGCCAAACACCAAACTTTTCTTCCTTTCGATAAACAAGCGTCTTGTCTTCTTGGGAAATCACTCAAATCAGCCAACGTAAGGATGGGAGCTACAAGGCTTAAAAGATAAATTAAATCTGAATAGAAAGAGAATAAATGGAGATTACAGAGCGAAGAAGTCCTAAAACATTAATCACCACTGGGTGGACTCTTGAGTGTATTACTCAAGAGGTCATGAGTTTAATTCATTTGCGTTGCTAATAAGAGTAGCCACTAAAGAGATTTATCAAACTGTCAACTTCAGGGCTTCAAGGGATTAATTGAAGTGTGTAAACTGTTCGGACACCCTGTCACAAAAAAAAAAAAAAAAAAAAAAAAAAGGTCCTAAAACATGAAGTAATTAATTGGGGAGGCCTCAATTAAATTCATAATTAAGAAAAAAAAAAAAAAAAAGATTTATTCCTATGTACATGCATTATGATCAAGATGTCCACATAAAGCAATTGACCTTGATCATGCATCTTATTTGACTAAGGGATAGTGTACTAATACCAAAGAAATTGTGCTATTGCAACTTCACGCCGGCTTATTTTATCCCTGTTCATAAAGATCTTAAATGAAGGAATTCTAGCTCGATTACCATTAAACATTACATTACATAAAACATAATTAATAGCTATATGCATGCACATTTAGGAGTTAATTAAGAAGTTCAAAGCTGCAGTGCTGCTGTACTGCAACACACCAGCAAACTTATCATAAACACACAAAAACAAAGAAACTATGAAGAGTCTTCGTGCTAGACTGCAACCAAGAGTTATAACATCAGTACGAATTTCTTCAATAGGAGACAATGAAATCTCTTCCAAAATGCATAAAGGCTAGCTCCTCCGAGCACGCAGCCAACTAACCTGTACAATGTTTCAGAAAGCAAAACCACAAGGAAGAGAAAATTCAAGAATAGATAAAGTTAATTAAAAATAATAATACTGATAATAATAAACGTCTGGTTTTGTATTCCATCGATACTTGCAAAAGCTTGTGATGAGGGCACTTAATAATTTTTCAAAACGAGTTTATTGTGAATGATTATAAATTTATTACACAAATCCACAAAATAAAATGTTTAACTTAAAGGGACTATCATAAGTTTGCTGGTCCATATATAATTTAGTTTCTCATGGCTGTCAATGTAGAGAATCAGAGAACAAAGACAGTACAAACAGTAAGAATCCAAGAATGACAGTAATTTTGTGCTTAAAAAATCATGATTTAGAGAACATGGAATGGAATTTCGAGAACTCCCAAAACATATATTTGTATTCCAAGAAAAAGCTGATGAAAAGATTCAAAATATATTCATAAACTTTTGATTAATTTCTTGCACAAGCAATTACTAAAGTTTAATAAATATATATCATAAACTTTCATCTAATTAAGAACTCAACATATTAAAAGATAAATTCCAAGTTCATGTCTGAGGGGTTTGTAAGCATGAACAATTGGAAAGTGTTAAATTGAATTGCTTTGTAATGTCAAAATGATGAGCCATCGAGATCATAAAACATCAAGAATTTAACACATGCAGCAAGTGATAATTTAAACTGAAAATAAACAACTTTATATGAAATAGAATGAAAGTATAGAACATTACATTTAGCGACCAGCCCGGGCCGCGGGGAACCTGGCCAACCAGTTGGGTGCAGGCCAATAAAGTTTCGAGTGACGAGGAAATCCTGCAAGCGGCCCGATCATTTCATACTTGACGTCATAAATTCCAGGATACCATCCGGGGTGCGCTTCACTTGCTTCAGCAAACTCATCATCATTAAAATAAACAGAATTGCTTCGGAGTTCAGGGAACTCTTCAGCAGAAACAGAGAAAGAACAATCATCTCCCACAAAGAAAGTTCGATCGTCGAGGCCCCCTTCCACGTAAAGCCATACATGGTTCACTTCATCAAGGACATAAACAGACATGCATATCCCGTAACCAAGTTCGTCACGGAAAGGTAAATGCGTCTTAACAACCAGAAACAAATGATCAAGAGAGCTCACTAAGTATTTGAGACCAGGAATGGGCTCAAAAAATTTATTGGCAGCGTCATAAATTTTTGAAGTTCTATGGTCAATGGTTATTGCAAACCCGCGTATGTCGATCGCATAGAATCTGTGTTTGTGATACACAACATCAACGACAGAAAAACTTTTGCCAGTGAGATGATATATACTAATCCATTCTGGCTCTCCAATTCTCCAAAGATTCATTTCTCCAATTCCCTGGGTGACCATAACTGCGAAATCACGATAATGCTCGTCAAGACACGTAGCAACAACGACTTTGTGGAAGGAAGTAGACTCCATATTGTCATAATTCATGTATCTATCTTTTCGTTTTCTGACAACAACGAAATCTAGACCGTACGATTTGTGTAACTCATGGACCTGAAAGTCCATTAAATTGAGGGTTTTTGGTAACGACCTTGCCAAGTGTCGAAACCGGAATCTAGAGAGAGGTTCCTTGACTTGCATTCTTCCAGTGAGGGAAGATTTTTGTAATCTAACGATGAATGTTTTGGTTGAAACATTTATATTGGAGGTTCTGCTGGGTAAGGGTTCAATAGCATAGAAAACGGACTCAGTGAGAACAAGATATCCCTGAAAGCAACGGTCAGGCGGTTTAATGTCTTTTTTGGAAGCTGGGACAGGGACAGGGATTCTGAGACCTTTAAAGGAAGATGGTGTTTTCTGAAAACGTATGGCTAGGCGAAATTTCTTGCAAACGGCACCAAAACGCAGCGTGTCGCTAGGCGTTTTCAGGCCACCTGCAATTATGGATAGTAAGTCTACAGGGAGAGTAGACCAATCACGAAGATTTCGGTCCATGGCTGCTGCTGGGTAAGGAAAAACAAAAAAAAAAAAAAACCTAACCTGAAGAACAGCAAGAACAAGATCAAAAACTAGAAGAGGTAGATGAAGTGGAAGTTTTTGGTGTCAGATGAGGGTGATCAAATAGCCAATTTATAGAAATTAGGAGGCCTAAATTCTTTTTATTTTTATATTGACCCAGTTCTAGTACAAATAAATCATATTTATTGGCTAGTTGGACAAGTGGAAAAAAGCTTTGGAATTGTAAAAACCAGATAATAACGAAGATTAAATCTTGAATAATAATGGATATTACAGTATATATTTCTCGCATAATATATATTATATATATATATATATATATATAAATATATAATATATATGCGAGAATATAAACTGTAATCCATTATTATTCAAGATTTAATCTTTCGAATTATATTATATATAGATATATATATATATATATATATATTAAATCCAAATTAATGTGACATCTTTATCTTAAATGCTTTCCACAGCCAAAGTGATATATGATTGGTACCTAATTCATAATTGAGCCTTTAATTATTCATATTTCTTTTTTTACTCGTTTTTCTTTTGTAAAATTGCTTTATAAAGTAAATTTTCTTATTGAAACAATCTAAAAAGTATTTGGATTAAAAAGAAAGTCAATCACACACACATAATAAAATAATAAAGAGAAAAAATGCGTATGATTTATCTTGATTTACTCAAAACTAATTTACTGCTAATATAGTTAATATGATTACAATATTTTCTTATCTCGTTACAATAAATAAATATATTTATTATGAATTGGTATATCACCCAAAACAAAACCGTCATATCACTCTTATATAGTGTAACCCTTTATTATTGACTGGTCCCCAATTATAATACTTACCAAAGTCCGTGGACTTTGGTGAAAGCTTGTGCGCAATTTGTGATTTGATAATTGATAATCTTTACCTCATTAAATTGATGAGACATGTTGATGATATCTTTTACTTTAAGTTAAATTATTATCAAAGGATGTTAGACTTGACTATATAAGAGTGTTTCTCGTCTAAAAAACTATTGTATTATTAAAAATTTTATATTAATAAAAAAAGTAAATTAATTTGAAGATTATTAAAAATATTTAAAAAAATATGTCTAATTAGGTTGAAATAAATTAACGGATATGTTATATTAATATATTTATTTAGGAGGATAAATGAGTAAGTATGTTATAAAGATTACTAAATTACACTCTTTTTTAAATATTAATATAATATTATCTTTATTATTATGTCTTTAATCATTTTGTTTATACCACAGTTTATATAAAACTTTAATTTGTAAGAAAATCACCATCACCTACCCTAAGCCACTGTCGGCTAAGGGTGAAAATCGAGTTGAGCCACTCGTGAGCTACTCGAACTCGACTCGGCATTAGTCGAGTCAAGTTCGAGTAGTTAATCGAGTCGAGTTCGATTACAGTAGAACTCGACTTGATATATTCGCAAGTATTTTCAAGCTTAATGGTTAAGTTGATAGTTTTTAAAGTAATAAGGGTCATATGTAATTTAAAAGTTATAAAATTTGCAAATCCACCCATATTAGATTACCTCAAAATTGAGTTCGAACTCGAACTCGATTAAAACTCGACTAAAAATTGATTATACGAACTCAAATTCGAACTTGATTTCCAATTTCAAGTACCAAGTTCGAACTTGATTTCTCAAGCTTGATCAAGCTCGAACTTGACTCAATCGCTGCTTGAACTCGATACTACAGCGATTGAGTCAAGTTTGATTGGCTAGATACTCGACTCGACTCGATTTCACCTTTACTACCGGCCGTTGGCCGTACATCGATATAGACGTTTTCGACTATATTAATGGCCGAAAATGGCCGTGGATTTGCGTAATGCCCCACTTGAGGTACGTACTCAAGATTTGTTGTATTACTTACATGTGTATTGATTCAGTTGTAGAAAGCAGTCATTACAATTTGGCCGTTAACGGCCAGATCTACTCCAACGTCCACGGCCATGGATCTGGCCGAAAATGGCCAAAATAGATCTGGCCATTTTCGGCCACATCTACAGCCATATCGACGCATGACGACCACTTTCTACGACTTCCAATGACTTTCGACGATGGTTTGGTGGCTGGCGAGTGGCGGTGGTTCTGGGCGACCAACAATTTGTTTAAAATATAAGGGCATTAGTGTCCAAAAACTTAATTAAATAAGGATAGTATTGTAATGGAAGATTTATGTAAATTAATTTCAAAATAAGGGCATTATTTTCCAAAAAAAAAATATTAATAAAGGGTAATAAAGGGTAAACTTGTAACAAAAAAAGATTACCAAGTAATCTTAAAATACCTAAAAAAATGAAGATAAGCAGATTATCTCTTATATTACCAACAATAATTACTATTGGTTTTAGAAGATTACCGAAATCTTATGTTACTTGACAACCAAACGTGATAATCAAGTAATATAATATGACATTACCTCAGTAATCCTCTATTACCCCAACCAACCACACCCTAAGGACATCAATTCTTTCACTATTGTTCATCTCATTTGTAAGCATCAATTTTTTAAAATAAATTAGTTAATTTTTAATAAAAAAAATTTAACCTCTGAAGTCGTTGGCGTTGCTTCGATCTAAATGTTTTGGGTCCTTGATTTTTAATCCCAAACTAATTTTTTTTTTTAAATGTGGGAGACTCTTCTTGTGTTACATAGTTTTTTTTTTGGGTAATCAGGATGTCCTGACTAGTTTGTACGTATTTCAACTAATCTTTATATCTAATTTTCGGGATTCATTGAATACCTTACAATCCCAAAAGACTAGGTAAGTTACAATATTATCATGGTAGGTAGTCTTAAAGTTTGAACCCAAAAACTTAAAGAAGGGAGAAAACCTCTTTGAGCATTAGACAAACCCCTTGGGGTTAAAAAAAGTAGTGAGGGCGAGTTTTAAAGGAAAAAAATTACAATTTTTTCCCCCCAAACCCAAGCTCCAGTCCAAAACATTGAAAAACCAGTTCTACCTGATGTATATAGTTGCTTTTATTGACTAAGCCACAATAATAATATGTAGGTTGATATATAGTTCTAACTAAATGAAAGATCTGAAAAGCATTTAAAAGGCAATTGTCCTTGCAATTCATGCTGGACCCTCTTTGCCAAATTCCGAAGAAAGTTACGATGTTAATTGATATTTACCAATGCCATTTAATTTCATGCAAATCCATTTTGTTTTAGCCATTTCAAATGGCTTACATTACCTAATTAAGATTCTTAATTAGAAAATCATCAGTATCAAGTTTTAATAAATTTTAATTCCAACTCTTTAATTTGTCCATTTAATATAAGACATTTCCATACATGATTAAAACGATACCACTCTTGTTATTTATACATTTTCATGAACAAATAACAATGCGTGTGATTTATTTATTTTCTTGATATATTTTATTTTTAAACATAATTCTAAATATTTAATTACATCTTGGGGTGTTCAAAAAAATGCAAAAACCGAACCGAACTGAAAAACTGGTTAACCGAAAAAAGGGTTCAGTTATGGTTCAAAAAATTAAAAAAACCGGATTTTTGGTTCGGTTATCGGTTCGAAAAAAATAAAAAACAGTTAACCGAAACTGGTTTTTTGAACCGGATATATATATATATATATATATATATATTAAATAGAAATAAAAATATATATTATATATTAAATAAAAAAAGAATTTCATTTCGTACTTTTATTTGTATAAATTTTTAATGTATTGTTAGTAGTGATCAATGGATATGTATGAATATTTAATTTTTATTTTTATATGGATATGTATTGTTTATATTTACAATTAAATTTAGGAAGAAGTTAAAAAAAAAAAATAAGTTTTATAAAATAAAAAAAAGAGAGAAAACCGGTTCAAAACTAGTTAATTGAAAAACCGGTTTTCTCTTCAAATCGGTTCGGTTTCGGTTTGGGAATTTTCCCGAATCGAAAAACCAGTTTGGTTCATAAAAGCGGTTAACCGACCGCTTTTGAACACCCCTAACTACATCTGGTGGTTGAACAATTCCATAGAGATTTTTAGGTGTGTTATTTAAAAGGTCATAAGTTTGAATCCCTCTTCATATACTAATAGAGATAGTTACTAGAGCTCTCAACCAACTTGTAGTTTTAGGATCTTGGAGGATTACCCAGTCATTAAAAAGAAAAAGTATTTGATTATAGATTTTAAAAATAGATGGACAGTACATTTACAACAACATTAATTGCCTTTATAATGTGGTACTTATAAACCTTT